CTAATCGTGACTAGTCGACTAATCGTGGCAGCCCTACTCAGCTGCAGAGGTGACTTATGTTCTTCCTTTCCTGGGGCAGTCCACATGTGAGCCAGTTTCATCACAGCACTTGATGGTTTTTGCGACTGCACTCGTTGACACATTCAAAGTTTTATCAATTTTCCAGACTGACTGACCTTCAGTTCATAAAGTAATGATTGACTGTTTTTTGTCTTTACTTAGCTGATTGGTTTTTTACATGAACACTGACAAGACACACCTGTAATGTGGAAACCATTCCAGGTGACTACATCATGAAGCTCATTGAGAGAAGGCCAATAGTGTACAAAGCAATAATCAAAGCAAAGGGAGGCTATTTTGAAGAATCTAAAATGTAAAACATGTTTTGTGTCATTTCACACACATTTGTTTACTACATAATTCCATATGTGTTCATTCATAGTTTTCATGCGTTCAGTGAGATTGTAAAATGTAAATAGTCATGAAACTGGAGAAAAAACATTAAATGAAAAGGTATGTCCAAAAACTTTGACTAGTAGAATATGAAGGCAGATCCAAAGAGAGCCAACATCTCTACTGTTGGTGTGTGAATTACAATGTTGCTCTCCAGTTGTGCTGAAAGAAACTACAACTTTCTCATGAAAACTCTTGCCAGACTGTACATTTAATGTGCAAATAGAGCTTCACCAGCACAGTGCATTAAGGGACTGTCGTTCATGCAAATGCGAGCTGATGATGGAATATGAAGAGATGGCCCAAACCAAAAGCAAAGTTGTCGACATTAAAAACTCATGTTGGTGAGCTGCTGTATTGTAAAAGACGCAACGGCCCATGTGACTGGGATGGAAGCAGCAAAAGGGGCTGAGCTCACAGGCTTTTGGTGTCTGCTAGAGGAAGGAAAAACATCACCTTCAACAACATTTTGGTAAATATGTTGGTGTGATCACAGCATCATCTTACTGGGAGGTTAGAATTATAACGCATTCACATGTTGTAGTTGCATGTCATAGGGCTGTTGCTATGGTAGATAACATAAAGGTAGTCTGTCGGCCTCAATTTAACAACAGACGTTCTCTGCAGACAGTGTCAAAACATGTGAGTCTGAAACCTGCCTTCTCCTCTAACGCCATCAGATGGTTGCAAAAGGACTTTCGGTCCCATCAGATCTTACGGGACATTACTTTTTGACTTTTCCTCTGTAAACACTGCTCAGTTCATGGACTCAGTCACAGGTTTTGGGTGATACTGAATAAAAGGTTATTTCAGAATACTGTGTTTACTGAGACTAAAAGCGAAAGCTAAGAAGTGAAATTGAAAAATCAGCTATTTGACCTGTTGCATCTTTCAATCGGGATGGGGTTGTTTGCGGCACACGACTACTTCCTTTCAAATAAACACTGAAGGCTGTTTCACCTTTTTAAATAATTTGGGTAGTCAGAGATGTAAGTCTATTAGGGGTGGGCGATATAAATTTGGCCAGCGATAGAGATTTTGACTATACTGCTCTATCGTGATAGCGTATGTTGATGATGTCATCAAGCTGCGCCTGTTTTGGTCAAAAGCATCGCAGCAGCTACAACCATTATCATCTGCAAATTATGGCGACAGTCACAGCAAAGAGATGAAGCACTTTTGAAATATGTGGAAAGCCAAAAACTGCGCTTCCTCCACTTCCGTAACATTGATTCATTAATGTTGAATTCTCTGCAGCTGCTCT